AACTAAAAACCCAGAAACAAAACCCTAGATGTTCTCTGTATACATACCGCTCTGTGTCAGACTGTGGACCAAACCATTTTCATATATCAAAATAAAGAAGTCTCAAAAAAGGTACATCAAAAAAGAAAAAAAAACGTGAACATAATTCCACAATTCCCTTAATTATAAAGACCTCCACATGGATATTATTACACTAAGCAGCCATCACATCTTAAACAGATGAAAATACTACAACAACTAACAACTAGCACACCAAATTCACACCTCCTTACAAAACATGCTAACACAACATCATTGGATAAATAAAGTCTTCCTTTGAACAGTGAAATCAGGGGAGAGCGCGAACGCAGTCCCCCACTACCAGAAATTATGCAGTCGAGATTCCCACATTTGGGGAATTCGCAGGGGTCAGCACAACCGGAGTGCAATGGCTGAGCCTCACCCTGGGTGAACCACCTTCTTGATCATGGTATCTCCCCTGCCAGGTAAGTATGAGTTCTACACGCACTGGACAGCGGGATCACCACTGGCTGGACTATTCACTGTGATGGTGAATGCTTCATTCACCACATAACCAAACAATGAAATCTAAGAGGGGGAAAAAAAAACAAAAAAACATGAAAAAAACATAAAAAATAATAAAAAATAAAAAAAACACATTCTGCATAGAACATATTGTACATACAAAAGGATATGCAGCTGTTTTTCTTGTGAATAAAACCCAGAACACCACTTCCCATGATGCACTGCTTCTGAATATGTAATCAACTCAACCCTCGCAAGCATTTATGTTCTGTTTGGTTTAATATTAGCACATCTAAATGAGCACTAAACTCTTGCAAGCCAGCTGATTTGGAAAAATAACTACAGCCAGAAATTAAACCACTGCTTTCACTGTTCTCATGCACCAAAGGAAACAACAAAAAGAAAATGTCTCCTCCCACTACTACACACACCAGACACTAGGGGCGCTCTCCCCTTACTCCTTATTCATATGCATAAAAGGTCACAAGAATCGACACAGACAAAGCAACAAGCTGCCACAGAGCAAAAAAAAAGCCTTTTCACTTTTCTTATACTTTAGAAGATTCAACGCTATTACAAAAGGAACCGGAGACTTAAAAAAATAAAAAAATAAAAATAAAATAAAAATGAAATGAAATAAAAGTAAGAAAAGCTCAGAAGTTCTCTACATATGTATTTCTTAGCTTTTGTCAGATTGTTGACCAAACTATTTATCAACATAAAATTCTCCACCAAAAAAACCTGGTACAAGGAAAAAAAACAAACATAATTCCACAATCCCCCTAAAAACAAAGTCCTCCCTAAAAAAATATTATTTCACTAAGCACTTATCACAGCTTAAACAGTTACAAATACTAAATGACAGCTACAACAAATATCATTTACCAATCAAACAACTCCTCACACGGCATGCATTAATAATACATGAACAAAATCTTCTTTTATACAGTGAAATCAGGGGAGAGCGCGAACGCAGTCCCCCACTACCAGAAATTATGCAGTCGAGATTCCCACATTTGGGGAATTCGCAGGGGTCAGCACAACCGGAGTGCAATGGCTGAGCCTCACCCTGGGTGAACCACCTTCTTGATCATGGTATCTCCCCTGCCAGGTAAGTATGAGTTCTACACGCAATGGACAGCGGGATCACCGCTGGCTGGACGATTCACTGTGATGGTGAACACTTCATTCACCACATAACCAAACAATGAAACCTTTAAAAGGAAAAAAAGAAAAAAAAACACCACATGTACTGCATAGTACACACTGTACATACAAAAGTATATGTAGCCGTTTTTCTTGTGAATAAAACCCAGAACACCAACTCCCATGATGCACTGCTTCTGAATCTGTAATCCTCTCACAACTCTTTGATCTTTTGGTTCTCTTTGGTTTTATATTAGCGCATCTGAATGAAAAAAACTCATGGCAGCCAACTGATCTGAATGAATAAACAAATATATAACTACAGCCAGAAATCACAACCGCTGCTTTCACTGTTCCCATGCACCAAAGAAAACAACAAAAAGAAAATGTCTCCTCCCACTACTACACACATCAGACACTAGGGGCGCTCTCCCCTTACTCTTTATTCATATGCATTAAAAACACAAGAATAGATACAGACAAAGCGACGAGCTGCCACGGAGCCAAAAAAAACATTTCATTCACTTTTTTCTTACACATCAGAAGATTCAACACTGTCATAAAAAAACACAGACTTCAAAATATTAAATAAAAAGGTTCACAAGCTCTCTACACGTGTATTCCTTAGCTTTTTTGTCAGATGATTGTGGACCAAACCATTTATTAACATAAAATCCCTCCCCACCCCAAAAAAACCTGGTGGATGAAATAGAGAAAGCCATGAACATAATTCCACAATTCCCTAAATAACAAGGACTTCCCTGAGAATATTTTTACTAAGCAGCCATCACAACTTATACAGCTACATATAGTAAAGTACAACTATAACAAAAGACCACATGCCAATCTGACAATTCTTCACTGAACATACAATAGCACCACCATGTGAACAAAGTCTTCCTTTGAACAGTGAAATCAGGGGAGAGCGCGAACGCAGTCCCCCACTACCAGAAATTATGCAGTCGAGATTCCCACATTTGGGGAATTCGCAGGGGTCAGCACAACCGGAGTGCAATGGCTGAGCCTCACCCTGGGTGAACCACCTTCTTGATCATGGTATCTCCCCTGCCAGGTAAGTATGAGTTCTACACGCACTGGACAGCGGGATCACCACTGGGTGGACTATTCACTGTGATGGTGAACACTTCATTCACCACATAACCAAACAATGAAATCTTTAAAAGGAATAAAAACACCACATGTACTACATAGTACATACTGTACATACATAAGTATTTGTAGCCATTTTTCTTATGAATAAAACCCAGAACACCAACTCCCATGATGCACTGCTTCTGAATATGTAATACACTCACAACTGTCTCAAGCATTTATGTTCTCTTTGGTTTTATATTAGCGCATCCACATGAAAAATCTCATGGCAGCCAACCGATCTGAATGAATAAATAAATGAATACATAAATAACTAACTACAGCCAGAAATCACAACCACTGCTTTCACTGTTCTCATGCACCAAAGGAAACAACAAAAAGAAAATGTCTCCTCCCACCACTACACACATCAGACACTAGGGGCGCTCTCCCCTTACTCTTTATTCATATGCACTAAAAACACAAGAACAGACACAGACAAAGCAACGAGCTGCCACAGAGCCAAAAAAACCATTCACTCACTTTTCTTACACATCAGAAGATTCAACATTGTCATAGAAATAACCAGAGACTTCAAAAAAAAAAAATAAAAAAGGTTCACAAGCTCTCTACATGTGTATTTCTTAGCTTTTTTTTTGTCAAATTGTGGACCAAACTATTTATCAACATAAAATCCCTTCCCACCCCAAAAAAAACCTGGTAGATGAAATAAATAGAGAAAGCCATGAACATAATTCCACAATTCCCTAAATAACAAGGACTTCCCTGAGAATATTTTTACTAAGCAGCCATCACAACTTATACAGCTACATATAGTAAAGTACAACTATAACAAAAGACCACATGACAATCTGATAATTCTTCACTGAACATACAATAGCACCACCATGTGAACAAAGTCTTCCTTTGAACAGTGAAATCAGGGGAGAGCGCGAACGCAGTCCCCCACTACCAGAAATTATGCAGTCGAGATTCCCACATTTGGGGAATTCGCAGGGGTCAGCACAACCGGAGTGCAATGGCTGAGCCTCACCCTGGGTGAACCACCTTCTTGATCATGGTATCTCCCCTGCCAGGTAAGTATGAGTTCTACACGCACTGGACAGCAGGATCACCGCTGGCTGTACCATTCACTGTGATGGTGAACACTTCATTCACCACATAACCAAACAATGAAATCTTTAAAAAGAAAAAAAACAATACATGTACTGCATAGTACATGCTGTACATACATAAATGTGTGGCCGTTTTTCAGAACACCACTTCCTATGATGCACTGCTTCTAAATATGTAATCAACTCAACTCTCGCAAGCATTTATGTTTTCTTTGGTTTAATATTAGCGCATCTAAATTAGCACTAAACCCATTGAAGCCAGCTGATCTTGGGGAAAAATAAAAAAATAACTAAAGCCAGAAATTAAATCGCTGCTTTAACTGTTCTTTTGCACCAATGAAATCAACAAAAAGAAAATGTACTACAGACATCAGACACTAGGGGCACTCTCTCCTTGCTCTTTATCTGCATTAAAGTCACAAGAAGCCACAGAGCAAAAAAAGCCTTTATTCACTTTTCTTACCCATCAGAAGATTCAACATTGTCATTAAAGGAACCAGAGACTTGGGGGGCGAACTAGTCCTAGGTTTTTTTGCTCAACTCTCAAGTAACAAGTTATTTACAAAATTCAGAGTCTGGAGCTTAATAATTACCAAAAAAAATGTTAATTAATTGTGTCTTTGTTAACTGATATATATTATACACTGGTTTTAATGCTTCTCTTGTTTGTAACCCCTTAGGATGGTATGGTCCATAGAAGGGGAGGTATTAAGGCAGCAGTGCATGTGAGAGGGAAGGACAGCTTGGAGCAGACGAGTCGTCTGCTAAGGGTGGCAGGGCTTAGCAGGCGGGCTCGTAGACCAGAGAGGTAGTCTAGAGGCTGGGAGAAGCCCGGTGACTGTTTTTAATGCATTTCCTTTCTTTTCTTTGTTGTATTTTTTTCCCCTATTTTTTGGTAAACTTTAATAAATAGACAAGAATTGATGGATCCTCACTTTTGCGTTCTTCCGAAGTTTTTGCAGCAGCCTCATCCCATCCACCACACACGGTCACATTACCACAAATGATGGCAGCGGAAAACAGTGTGAAGGCACGGCCCCGCCAGAGGGGGCAGTAACTATTCAGCGAGCCATTAGAAGCCGCCACAAAGGAAGACGCGGCTCGAGAGGTAAAGACGGGAATGTTAGAAGGAGCAGGGGGAAAAAGTTCTTAGGATGCCTCCAAAAAGAATAACAGCGGCACCGTCGCGTGAGGTGGAACAAGGTGAGGAGGAGTTAAGCGAATCTCAACCTTCATCCCCCCAGATCTTGAGCAGTACGGCATGCAGCGTCAATCAGCTCAGTGAGTTGCTTCAGAGTTTTATGAAAACCCAAAATGACAGAGAGAAAGTTCAGGAAGAGAGGTGAAGGACCCATACCCAATGCCCAGAGCAGATGAGCTGATTGAGAGGTTGGGTAAGGCAAGTTTTCTTACCACCCTTGATCTAAGTAAAGGGTACTGGCAGGTCCCGTTAGATCCAGCAGCTAGAGAGTTGACTGCATTTAGAGTACCGAGTGGACTGTATCATTTTAAAGTCATGGCTTTTGGTTTGCACGGAGCGGCTGCAACTTTCCAAAGACTTATGGACAAAATATTAAGGGGCACTGAAGAATATGCTGCATGTTATATTGATGTAATTATTTACAGTATGACATGGGAGGATCATTTGAATCATCTTGCTAATGTTTTCCAGAAACTTGCAGCTGCAGAACTTAGTCAACCCCTGTTAAGTACAGCGTTGCCAAGTCCGAGGTCTCCTACTTGGGGTATGTGCTGGGAAATAGAGTCATTAGACCACAGGTGGACAAGGTTGAAGCCATCAGGGCAAGCCCAGTTCCAACAACCAAGAAAAGGGTGAGGTCATTTCTGGGGTTAGTTGGATGGTATCGACGTTTCATACCGGACTTTGCCAGTCTTGCAGCAGTATTAACAGACCTCACAAAAAAAAGGACATGCACCAAAGAGTAAGGTGGACTGCAGAATGTGAAGCTGCATTTCAACACGTCAAGAACTGTATGTGTTCTTAACCTGTACTGAGAAGTCCAGATTTTAGTAAACCTTTCACAGTGCAAACTGATGCTTCTGGTCGGGGTCTAGGAACTGTGTTACTTCAAGGGGAAGGCGAAGCCTATTTTGTATATCAGTCGGAAGTTATTCCCAAGGGAAACTAGATATTCAACGGTAGAGAAGGAGGCACTAGCTGTAAAGTGGGCCTTAGATTCTCTAAAGTATTATCTGATTGGGGCTGAGTTTATCCTTGAAACAGACCACAAAGCACTGCAATGGATGGCATGCATGAAAGACACCAATGCAAGAAGTACGAGGTGGCATTTATTGTACTTTGTACTTTTTGTTCCTTGTTGCACCGTGTTGTTCCTGGAGGAACGTAATTTCGCTCCACTGTGTACTTGTACATAGATGGAATGACAAAAGCCTCTTGACTTGATCTTTGCAACCTTTTAGGTTCACAATTCAGTATAAGAAAGGTTCCAAAAATATTATCACTGACTACTTGTCTCGTCATTCTGAGGACTGACTTCGCTTAGGGTGGGGGGCGTGTGATGATGTCAAGGTGCCAGACACATCACCAATGAGGTTACATCCACTCTACACCTTTAGTAATGTGAAATGCATCTAGATCGGATTAAGCTATCTTAAGAAGGGGCATACACACCTGTAAGAAATTATATTGTTGGGCGTAATAGTACTTACCTGGTTAATCTACTAGAGGGGGGTGGGGGGGTGTCTTCAGTCAGCAGCTCCCGTAGAGAGAGAACGGAGAAATTGACCATTGGATTACTCTGTAGACTTATTATATGTATATAGATAAATTTAAATTAGTCATGTCTTTGTTAACTAATATATATTATGTACTGGTTTTAATGCTTCTCTTGTTTGTAACCCCTTAGGATGGTATGTTCCATGGAAGGGGAGGTATTAAGGCAGCAGTGCACGTGAGAGGGAAGGACAGCTTGGAGCAGACGAGTCGTCTGCTAAGGGTGGCAGGGCTTAGCAGGCGGGCTCGAAGATCAGGGGGGCAGTCTAGAGGCTGGGAGAAGCCCGGTGACTGTTTTTATGCATTTCCTTTTTCTTCTTTGTTGTATTTTTTTGGGAACTTTAATAAATAGACAAGAATTGATGGATCCTCACTTTTGCGTTCTTCCGAAGTTTTTGCAGCAGCCTCATCTCATCCACCACACACGGTCACATTACCACACTAGCATACTAAAATGTATAGTTAAACATTGGAGAGTACTCATACTGTTTGAATTAGGATGACTTTTACTCAACATGGTCTCGCTCAATCAATTAATCATTGCAGCCATGGCATTGCTAGCTTCAACTGCTAGAATTCATCAGTAATTGGTCTGATCATCTCAACACTACAATGACTCAAATTTTGAGGCTATGATGAGGTCTGCAAAATTTGGTCCAGATTGGCCTTTAGGAGGCACTTTAGCACTCAACACAAGTAAAATAATTAAAAATGCAATTGTTATTTTCAAGTCTAGAGATAAACATTTGGCGCCATTTGATTCAGTTCACTGATCTGAACAACTTTATAATCATGTGTCATAAATCGGACTCCTTGTCTGGTGATTTCAATTAGTCATTCAAAGACTACCGGATACTATAGAAAGGTCAAAAGGTCAATGTGGACAAAACTTGATCAATAATCATAACATTTGGAGACCTTTTAACAAAAAAACAGAGACTTCAAAATATTAAATAAAAGGTTCACAAGCTCTCTACATGTGTATTTCTTAGCTTTTTTGTCAGATTGTGGACCAAACCATTTATCAACATAAAATCCCTCCCCACCCCAAAAAAACCTGGTAGATGAAATAAATAGAGAGAGCCATGAACATAATTCCACAATTCCCTAAATAACAAACACTTCCCCATGAACACTATTTCACTAAGCACTCGTCAGAACCTTTACAGCTTCATATACTAAATAACAACTATAACAAAGACCACATGACAATCTAATAATTCCTCACAGTACATGCAACATCACCACCATGTGAACAACGTCTTCCTTTGAACAGTGAAATCAGGGGAGAGCGCGAACGCAGTCCCCCACTACCAGAAATTATGCAGTCGAGATTCCCACATTTGGGGAATTCGCAGGGGTCAGCACAACCGGAGTGCAATGGCTGAGCCTCACCCTGGGTGAACCACCTTCTTGATCATGGTATCTCCCCTGCCAGGTAAGTATGAGTTCTACACGCACTGGACAGCGGGATCACCACTGGCTGGACTATTCACTGTGATGGTGAACACTTCATTCACCACATAACCAAACAATGAAATCTTTAAAAAGAAAAAAAAACAATACATGTACTGCATAGTACATACTGTACATACATAAATGTGTAGCCATTTTTCTTACGAATAAAACCCAGAACACCAACTCCCATGATGCACGGCTTCTGAATATGTAATCAACTCAACTCTCGCAAGCATTTATGTTCTCTTTGGTTTAATATTAGCGCATCTAAATTAGCACTAAACTCACTGAAGCCAGCTGATCTGGAAAAAATATATATATAAATAACTACAGCCAGAAATTAAACAACTACTTTAACTGTTCTTATGCACCAATGAAATCAACAAAACATCTCCACACACTAGTACAGACATCAGACACTAGGGGCACTCTCTCCTTGCTCTTTATCTGCATTAAAGTCACAAGAATCGACACAAAGCAACAAGCTGCCACAGAGCAAAAAAGCCTTTATTCACTTTTCTTACCCATCAGAAAATTCAACATTGTCATAAAAGGAAGAAAAAAAAAAAAAAAAAACCTTTGCGAACTAGTCCTAGGTTTTTCACTCAACCCTCAAGTAACAAGTTATTTAAAAAATTCACAAGAGTCTGGAGCTTAACAATTATCAAAAACATTTACAAAACATTTTGTAAACAATATGGCTCCCATATGCTAATTAACCCTTCTGAAATAACTTCACCAAAATAATCTGAAACTGAAAATGCTTATTCAGAAATACATTCCGAGATAGGTGTACCACAATTGATGGGCTATGTCATTAGGGGGCACTGTAACAAACATCTGTTTCTGAGCCTCCATACATCCTATCAAGCTGAAATTTTTGCAGCTAGCAACTACTTGACAGACTGTAAGTGAATATCAAAGGACAATTTAATACATTGAAATTTTTAGTCACTATCAGTGAATCAGCTTTCAGCAGCCATTTGAAAGGCTTGTAATTGACCAATCATCATGAACCTTGAACGGTGTCTCTAAGTAGCCACTTCCTAACAACCAGTTAAGTTCCCAAACTTTTGCCCACTAGGGGATGGCTGTTTATGGAAAAAGTAATTATCACATACATTTTTTTTTCCCATTTCTGGTCTGATAACTGGTCTTCTCTAATGTAGTGCTGTGGGCCAAGCAAATTTCTCCATTACAAGTGTCTTACAAAAAAATGCAGTTTGTTGCAATCGTTAACTGTGTGAGAACCACATTTTTTGAACAAGTCTCTGGGTTTTGATCCAAACATTTCAAAAGTCAACTAGAAATACTGGACTGCATGCATGTCCAACGTTTAATAGCTCATGACATATGAAATAAAGCATGTATCATCTTTAAAGACCACTGCTTGACAATGACAAATAAAAGGCTTTTGATAAGCTCTGACTTCCTTGCATTTTTCCTCCTCTCTCTGTAGATAAGACCCAAACTGCATTAGGCCTCATTAGGCCTAGTGGGCTAAGACTGCTTTAGGGCATATTGTGCTGACGTGTGCTTGGACGTGCTCATTGCCGCATGCAGCTATATTGTTCTCTTTGGTTTTTTTATTAGGGCATCTGAATGAGCACTAAACTCACGGCAGCAAACTGATCTGAAAATAAAATTAATTAAATAAATATAGCCAGAAATTACAACTAATGTCACTCTTCTTGTGCATCAAGGAAATCCCTATAAGAAAATGCCTCCACCCACAACACACACCAGAGATGCTCCTTAATTTTTGTTTATATGCATTAAATATATGAGAGCTGATGGAGACAAAACAGCAAGTTGCAACAAAGCAAAATAATAAAAAAATTTATCAATAAAACCTTCATTCATTTTTCTTACACATCAAAAGATTCGACATGATCATAAAAGGGGCCAGCCATTTAAAACCTAGAAAGTTCTCTACATGCACATTGCTCATTTTCTATCAAAATAAACAAAGTCTCAAAAGGGTACATGCAAAAAAACAAAACAAAAACAAAAACAAAAAAAACAAAACTAACACACAATTCCCATAATAATAAAAACTTAGATATTATATATCCATGGATATTACATTCAGCACTCCTCACGTCTTATAAAGCTAAAAATACTACACCACAACTGTAATCAATAGCAATTTCACACCTCTTTACAAAACATGCTAGCATATCATTATTGGTGAATAAAGTCTTCCTTTGAACAGTGAAATCAGGGGAGAGCGCGAACGCAGTCCCCCACTACCAGAAATTATGCAGTCGAGATTCCCACATTTGGGGAATTCGCAGGGGTCAGCACAACCGGAGTGCAATGGCTGAGCCTCACCCTGGGTGAACCACCTTCTTGATCATGGTATCTCCCCTGCCAGGTAAGTATGAGTTCTACACGCACTGGACAGCGGGATCACCACTGGCTGTACCACTCACTGTGATGGTGAACACTTCATTCACCACATAACCAAACAATGAAATCTTTAAAAAGAAAAAAAAACAATACATGTACTGCATAGTACATACTGTACATACATAAATGTGTAGCCGTTTTTCTTACGAATAAAACCCAGAACACCACTTCCCATGATGCACGGCTTCTGAATATGTAATCAACTCAACTCTCGCAAGCATTTATGTTTTCTTTGGTTTAATATTAGCGCATCTAAATGAGCACTAAACTCACTGAAGCCAGCTGATCTGGAAAAAATATATATATAAATAACTACAGCCAGAAATTAAACCACTACTTTAACTGTTCATATGCACCAATGAAATCAACAAAACATCTCCACACACTAGTACAGACATCAGACACTAGGGGCACTCTCTCCTTGCTCTTTATCTGCATTAAAGTCACAAGAACAGACACAGACAAAGCAACAAGCTGCCACAGAGCAAAAAAAAAGCCTTTATTCACTTTTCTTACCCATTGGAAAATTCAACATTGTCATAAAAGGAAGAAAAAGAAAAAGAAAAAAAAACTTTTGCGAACTAGTCCTAGGTTTTTTGCTCAACCCTCAAGTAACAAGTTATTTAAAAAATTCACAAGAGTCTGGAGCTTAACAATTATCAAAAACATTAACAAAACATTTTGTAAACAATATGGCTCCCATATGCTAATTAACCCTTCTGAAATAATTCAGATTTAAATGTACAATTCTACAGCCAAGAATGTTTCACATAAAAAATTTGAAACTCGAAACGCTTTTTCAGCAGATCATTTGGAGGTAGTGTATGTATATTGGTGCACATACATCCTTAGGGGGCGCTGTAATGGCTAAATAACTTTCTCTCGTTCACTCAAACAAGCTGAAATTTTGCAGGCAGCATCTATTAGACAGACTATAAGTGAACATTTAAAGACAATGACACATTGAAATTTACGGCCGCCATCAGCCAATCAGCATTCAGCAGGCTTTTGACAGACTTAACATTGACCAATCACCAAGAAACTTGAATAGTGTCTCTAAGTAGCCACTGTGACAACCAGTGAAGTTTCAATACACTATTCATGACGCTATTCATGAAAATCAAGTAATTATTACATATACCTAATTTTATTTTTGGTCCAATAACTGTTTTTCTCCAATGTAGTGCAGTGGGACGAAAAAATTACAAGTTCATTAAAACAAAAAAGTTAAAGTAACCATTAACTGCTTCATAACTATTCTTTTCAAAGTAGTCTCTGGATTTTCATCCTAACTTTTCGAAATTGGTCTAGAAATACTCAGAGGTCTCTCTAAGTAAATAATTTTTTAAAAAACGTTGACTTTATTACTCAACATGGTGTTGCTCTATCAATTAATCACTGTGGCCATGGCATTGCTAGTTTAAATTGCTATAACTCAGCAGTCCTTGGCCCGATCATCTCAAAACTTCACAGGGGTGTATATATTGACACAC